GGGGGTCCATATACGGTTCGGAGTAGAACCAGAGAAATGTGTCAACAAATATCTGATTGAAGCCCCAGCTGACCAACACTGATCCACACACTATGGCACGTCGGTGCCTCAGAATTACAAACTTCTATCTGACATTTCTGGCAGTTTAGAGGTACCAAGACCATGACGTTAGAAACCAAATGTTCTGTCTGCTCTATCAACACCACAAGATTATTCGGAGCCGTTATTAAAATATTCAATAACTGAATTCGAAAAAGCTTGACGTGATGTGAAACTCAAAATCTTTGACGTCAAATTTCTCCGAGCTAGACACTGAGCAGATAGAACTTTGTAATTCTGAGGAAGCGACGTGTCTACGATGTGCCATGAAGCCCCTGGGTCCAGACCCTGCTATTGCCTTGCAGTGGACTTGGATCGGTCAGTGCCAGGTTTGGGCTGGCAGGTCAGTTCTTCCCTTTCAAGTATACTTGCAAAGCTCATCTAGCTTTACTTTCATAGTGAGAGCTCTGTGACACTTGCAACACAATAAGGTCATATTGTAAATACCAAAGAGGGAAACGAGATAGGGGCGATAGATGTTTGATAGGAAAGAAGGAGCAAACCACACAGTGTCATGCAAAACTCCTGCAATTAACCCACAAAGCTTATCGTCTTCTAAATTGGCTGGATTCTGAACGGGTAGGGTTTGAATGTTGCGATCTTTTCAACACTGGTAAAACAACCAAACACACAACAGCGCCTGTGGCGTAGGTGGCCTAGTGGTTAGGCTACCGGACTAGTAATCGTGAGGTTGCGGGGTCGGGGGTTCGAGCTGCGGACCCAACGTTGTGTCCTTGGGAAAGGCACTTTACACGAATTTTCCTCACTTCACCCAGGTGGAAATGGGTACCCAACCATAGACAGCGAAAGATCTTGTCAGTATGTTAGTGTTTCAGCGCCTACAAATGGCAGCTTGCACTGTACGCTTCCCAGGAAGTTGAGTTTGTTCCAGAATGCTCTCAGGTCTGCTGGGGTAATAGTATAGATTATGGAGCTCATAGAGTTTGTTGTTGAGTGGGGATTTGTGCTATACAAATGATATCTATTACCATCATCATCATCATGAAGCAGTACGTTGACTAACACTAATTCAGCACACAAACACAACACGGCTTTCTATTAAAACAAAAAAACCCAAAAAAAACAAGCCAAAAGGTGAATATGTGACAAGAAAAACTATAACTAGAGAAGGCTATAAATCGACCAACTGAAGACAAAAATGCGGTCTTCTGGTAACCGGAAACCACCATGACTATAGCAAGTTCTCAATGTCCTCCTCTCCTCTTTTATCACCTCGCACAAAACTCCGGGAGACCTCGGGGACCCCTAGCGGCAGACAATCGGAGCGACTCGGAAACACGAGGGGAATTAACTCCCCGCCTCACAAAGTTCTTTCAGGTTACACGCAACCAATCACAATTACAATAATTTTTTTAATGGCTTTTGAGTTTTAAAAGACGAACTTGAAGGAATATGTTTGTTTGTTTTAGTAAAACAAAGCATATCGACTCAGTATTGGTTATTAGCTGCTGGAGAAGAGTAAGAAGGACAGACAGACAGACAGACAGACAGACAGACAGACAGACAGACAGACAGACAGAC